TCGATCTCACCGCGCATCTGTCGAATCACCAGACTGGAATCTCCACACAGTATTACTCGCCCCTATCCAGATCGGCGAGTAACGCAAAGAAACTTACAGTAGCAAGACCATTATGCTCAGCTTCATTCACAGTCAGATCGTGAACGCATCTCGATTCGGCCGCCACGATCGTCCATTCAGGTAACTTCCATATCACGGCTGAACGACCCTCCTTTCTTTTTATCTAGCCGATCCATCGAAACTGGCCACCAGCAACTCCTCATCTGTTTCCACCGTTGGGCGTCATTATTTTGAGGAGTCGACAGTCTTTTTCGTGGGGAGATCGCATTCAGCATCTCTTCCACCTCTCCTCTCGGAGTGATACTTGCTGCTAACATGCCCAGGATCTCTTTCTCCTCTTTTCCATTTTCTTCACCTCCATAGTCAATTTGACAACAAAGCAGCCCACCGTCCTGATCTCCCGTTGAGCCTCGAGAGACTGCATCAACCAGGCTAACGTAGAATGTCCGGGTCCGGTACGGTGATCTCCCGCGAGGCCAAAGTGTAGTATGGCATCCATCCAGCACACGAAGTAGCGCCAGCACTTCTTTTTCTACCGTTCCGTAGTTTAGCTCATTAGGCTTTTAAAGTGCGGCTAGTAAATGTCACCGGATGGTACACGCCATCGTACTCCCTGTATGCAGGCCGCTGAGACAGCCCACTTTTGCTGGCGTAGACCACGATTACGGGAGGACGATCTGGGTCGAAATGCTTGAGCATGGGAGCTGTAGCTATCTTGGCACAGCATAGTGAAAGCAACCTTGGATTCCGTCCATCGACCTCGTTCGAGCATTCGTCTCCTGCTGCAAGCTGAGATCGGCCGATCTCAAAGAAATCGATTCTCTTAACTCATACAACACCGCGGCATACACCGCGAAATCCTCAAATAAGCGACGTGAAGTAGTTCTGACTCGAAAGATTGCATAAGCTCCGTAGCGTGCTAGAAACAGGATGATATTAACCAACGACTCTAGGTTCTTGGGCTGAGCCTCAGACCATCCATCGACACTCGATGTCCCAAATAATCGACTTGGCACTAAAAGCTCTTCGTGAGGCTGATAGACCCAGATTCCATATCACATGCCTCCAGCAACCGTTCTACTTTTTGTGTACAAAGATCCCCATGACGTGGCTGGTATGAGAATCGTCAATGTAAGATCGGCGTCCCAGTATAGACGGTCGTCGATCTGTCTCAGGTTCTCCATCTTTGAACACGTCGATCGGGCCATCAGAAGCTGATCTCTGGCCGTACCTTTGACATCAACCGGCACAGGCCAGTCGGTGATCACCTTGATCTTTTCGGGATCAGGACGTACTCAGTTCTTTCAACGATGCACCCAAGTAGCTTATTTCGCTTGCTGCAAAATCTACACTTCATGAATTGTACACAATTTGATGCTTTCGCATGATTGTAAGAACCTGTCGGACGTGGTATCGGTGAACCTCAACATCCGACTTTCCATCCATGGCCGACTATGGATGAATGCGTCATCCAAATAACCCGGTGCGAATTCTCGTGCTGGTCTCAACAGGTGTGATACACATCTGTTAGGGCAGTGGCAGGGAATTACTAAGCCACTGTGGCATTACTAGCCATTCCCAGAGCATGCCACAACTAGGCGTGCTCACTACGGCTTATAGGGTATGTCCCGTTCTCACATAATAATTTTGATAGAAGCCATCCATCCAAATCCATGGACGAAAAGATGGTACTCATTTGACATGCCATCAATGATTACGTCTTTCCTTGGTATCGGCGTCTGAGCCGGTAACGTTGCAACATTCAACTTGTTAAATGCATGCACAATCCGCCACCCTCCTGTTGCTTTTCGCACACAGAGGTCGGAGAGCTATGTGGAGAAGTTGATTCCCTCACATGGTCCGCAGCTAAGCGATCGGCAAAGAACTTGTCGATCGCAAGTACTGTTTACAGGCAATGGCCACTGCTTCATGACACAGTACTTCAGGCTGGGTTTGAAAATCTCAGCCTCGTGTCGAATACCTTTATCCTTCGGTAACTCGCACAGACAGTTTCAGGAATACATCCTTGAATTTAACCAAATCCTTATAGAGAGGATTTGTCTTGAGTGATTCCACGATTGGGAGTCATATCGCTCAACTCGTGTCTTTTCATCAGGGACACTCTCGTCCATAGATGAACTACTGAAAAACTCTCTCGTTCTCAGTGAACACTGTTGGCGACCTTATGTCGGCTACACACTCCGTCGTCGCGACGAGTACGCGAATCTGCTTGACTTTTCCACTACGCAGATCACGCAAGAACCTTTATGTTCGAGCATTGGCAACTGGTGATCTCGAAGTCAACTTCGGAGGCGCAATCCAGATCAAGTGTATAAGCGCCTACGCGTGATCCATCACTACGGCTACTTGACATTCATTGTCTCTGTCATTTCCTGAGGACTTATTCCCTCAGGCCTCGAGGACTTATTCCTTCGAGTTCGAGAACCTATTTCCACCGTATTTGTAATATCCGGGACTTATTCCTCGCACCTCTGGCTGGGGTTGCGCAACCACAGCGAGGTCATATCTACGAAAGACTCTCCCAGTCGATTTGGGTTATCTTAACCTAGCGATCGATTGTTTCTCTTCTAGATGTCCCCCGCTAGGGATACATCTTTGTCCCGGTCCACTCGACTTATTCGAGTGGTGGACCTTGGCGCAGCCCTGTGTTTCTCTACAGCCGCCGGAATCTTGCTCCCGAAGTGTAACTGTTTGTTACCGCTAAGGTTTTGTGCAGTCGTACTAACGATGACCGTACCACAAGTGAGGCCATCACTCAACTCGTAGTACATCCACACGCTGTGGACGCTCCAAAACGTTCATCAGATGGCCATCTGATGAACAAGCGGCAGGCATCGTTACTGTTCGATGTTGCCAGTTTCACCCGTGGTTCGTACCTTCTGAGCCACGGTATTCCAGGATGACATCAAACTTGTCATCCGTCAATACGATAAAGTCATCATCATATTGGATATCTTCTAGCGTATAGTGGATCTTAACTATACGCTTCATGACTATTACAGATGCCCCTGTTGCAAGACGTACCGTCATTCTCGTAGGAGGTGTGTCACATTCACTGAACTTGAAGTGGCCATCTTCTGGCGATTGGCGTCGCACAAAATTGTTGGACGCCCCACACTCGACTAGAGCTCGAAGGACAACTTATTCGTCTTCGAGTTTCAGGAAGTAATGGTGAGATCTCATTACCTAGAGCAGCAACGCACAATGTTTGTGTGTTGGGAGCAACCTTCATCAAGAGGCCTACAAATTCTCTTGACGTTGCTGGATCAGTAGGGTGCTCCGCAACTACTAAACCTGTCCGTTTTTGACGGTCCATCCCGTTGTTGGTCTTCGCACCAACAGCGGACCCCGCGATCCTGCCCCTTTCTCATGGGTGGACGGTCACTACGCTCAGTGTTGCGAGACACTGGACGAGGGGGCACTACACTCGTAAGCGTAGTGTCCTGTCTTCTCTGACATCTGTTGCATTTCTAAAACTTCTTGTAGTCTGTAGAGCGAGCCTTCTCGCTCTCTACATAACCGAGTTCCATCGGCTCTGGACTTCCGCTGTCATATCGTCTCCCGGTTGACGATACGATGTCGAGCTGGCGCAAGCCTGTCCCAGACTGAAGTCTTTCTGTTCCGCAATGGAAATGGCTTGTTCTAGTGTGAATCTAGTTCAAGTCGGAACAGGTGAGTCTTGAAGGGACCATCGCAAGACCCTGCATGAACACCGAAACCAGCATTGTGTTCATCAATCGGGTTGGAACTTATATAACTCGTGAGATGTCGTATATGTTGCACGTAAGCGTGCACATCACGCTTACCTTGCTTGAGCTTCAAGAGTTCAGTTCGAGCTCCTGAACTCAGCTCTAGGCAGTTCAACGTTTTTCTGAGCCGCGACTTGAAGACTCCTAACGACCCAAACGCATATGGGTCGTGCAACAACCCCAGTGCCCAAGTCTTGGCACGTCGGCCGGATTTGACTGGGCAAATGCAACTTGCATATCCCCGTCGTCGATGCGACGCGCCCTTATGGCATCATCCAATTCGACGAACTATCTCAAGAAGTCCCTTCGACCCCCTATACTTGGAGATGTCAATCTTCAAGGTCTCGGGTCGACGCGAGTGCATCGACCCACCAGCAGCAACCTGCTGCTGTCTGAACAACTCAAAACTGCTGAGCATCCCATTCTCTCAACAACTCTGATTGTTAAGAACCTTGTTGGTGAAGCAAGGCTACTTTCTCGCGTTCTGTGTCAAGTTCATTTTGAATGAACTTGGCGATAGTAACATGTTGGGCATCTCTATTGAGGCCTCTGGCATGACGCTAACAGCATGGAATCCCATGGTTGAACCCGTCCGTTCAACCGCATCCCATTCGACAACACTCAAATGGGAGTAGCCGTCACACGCGTAGCGTGAAAGCTTTGGTATCTTCATCATCAACATATTCATGGTAGATGTGAACGTGGTCATTGGACGGACTACGAGAAGTGCTACCAGGTGTAACGGGGCGCCCTGGAGCTTATTACTGATGACAGTGCAAGCTACTTATTCTGATGACAGAATAAGGCGGTGCCTCCGGAACTTCACGTACACTGGCACGTGCAGAGGAAGACGGTAAGGAGAAGCGAGTACTTGGTTAAAGTAAAAAGTAGAACTGTATTTGTCATAGTTAAAGTCTGTTAATAGAAGCCACTATTTATCTTCATCTAACTATGTCTGAATACAAATCTGCAAATCAACTATCTGCTCACCACTCATTGCGTGCGCATCTGTCGTGGCGCGTCTTCGTTAGTTGATATAATGTCCTATATCCAACCAATTAGGAACTACTCGTAAGTGCTGCAGAATATTTGTCCTTATGACAATATTCTGAGAATATAACTCTTATAGTTACATTTGCAAAGCCTCGACAGTATCTATATTGGCGAGCTTTAACTAACCTACAGCACCGAAAGTACAGGTGGTCGATTCTTCCGTCAACAGATTGACATGCTGAGCCAAGTGATGACGAAAAGTAGCGACAAACAGCCTCACAAACAAGAGCGAGTCCCGGCGGTGCACGCAGATTTTCTTCTTGCTCGGCTTCCGTGTCGTCTTGTTCGTGAGCCCGTCTGCATGCGCTGCAGCATGTCAGTCGGCGCGATGTCCAGTATGTGTGAGGTCTACCATCCCCATCCGCCACCGTATCCTCCCCATCCCACCACCGCTGGCTTCCCATCCCCCGAAGCCACCCCAGGGACGTCCCATCCCAAGCCTCCCCACTCCATGGACTTCTTGCCTTCCGCACCGATGACGGCAGTAGGCTCATTTTCCGCAGCTACATCAGCAGCAGCCTCGACAGGATGCGAATGTCGCTCGGTAGGACCCTTGCCATCGTGTCAGTGCTGGGTGTAGCTGGTTCCGATGCAGCAGGGCTCGGAGCTCCGGCTGGTAGTCAGTAGCTGAGGCGACGCTTGCTACAGCAACTAAGCGCGGTGACGGCGAGAGCGGTGCACTTCATGGTCGATTTGGTCGGCTGGTCAGTACTTGCTCGCTAGGTGTTGGTGTGGTAGTGCCCCAGTTGGTTTGTGAGTGCGATCGACGTACGAGCTGGCGAGAGTGGGCTGGTGTTGCGACGAGTGACTCGTCACATAGCGTCGCGAGCTGACTGCTTCAATCGATTGAGTTGATTGATTGCAAAATCGAGTAGATGGTTGAAGTCGGCGCGTCTCGATCGCGTTTTCCAGTCTGAAGCGTGGAATAGAACTTCGAGCGGTTTGAATTCCACTGTTGTTTTGTCGACATGATGGACGGTTGATCGTCGTCGAAGAAGGTCGCGGAGGGTGGTGGTAGTCCGGTTCCGTCGCTCATGAATCGGTGGTACCTGCTAGAAGACAAACATAAGTAGAACGGTGGAGGTCCATAAGTAGAACGGTGGAGGCGTGTGTATCTCTGGCTGGTGATCAATGTTGGTGACCGACGTCGATGACTGCGTTAGGTCCGTCGACATCAACATCGACGTGGTGACCAAACCAGGTGGCTGCTGAGTTGTGTGTGGACGTCGTCTATGTTTGGTGGCTCTGACAATGAATGCAAGGAGGGCCCTTGCGATGACAGTTTGTGCAAGTGGTATGAATACCAGTGCGTCTGTTTGAGATGCGGACAATGACACTTTTCGGCAATCGATGACATAGAAGGAGAGACTGGACGGAGCATGCTACTCGCGCGAAGAGAAAACGTGTCCGTCGGAACGAGTCGACATGTTCGTGTCGATGTGAACATGCAGATACAAAGACATTGGTCGTGACAAGATGATCTGATCTGAACGTGCTGCTGGAAGAACGTGTTGATCTTAGCGAGGTGGCTGGCTGACAACTGGCTGCAAAGCCTCGACAGTATCTATATTGGCGAGCTTTAACTAACCTACAGCACCGAAAGTACAGGTGGTCGATTCTTCCGTCAACAGATTGACATGCTGAGCCAAGTGATGACGAAAAGTAGCGACAAACAGCCTCACAAACAAGAGCGAGTCCGGCGGTGCACGCAGATTTTTCTTCTTGCTCGGCTTCCGTGTCGTCTCGTTCGTGAGCCCGTCTGCATGCGCTGCAGCATGTCAGTCGGCGCAATGTCCAGTATGTGTGAGGTCTACCATCCCCATCCGCCACCGTATCCTCCCCCATCCACCACCGTAGCCACCCCATCCCCCGAAGCCACCCCAGGGACGTCCCCATCCCAAGCCTCCCCACCACTCCTTGGACTTCTTGCCTTCCGCACCGATGACGGCAGTAGGCTCGTTTTCCGCAGCTACATCAGCAGCAGCAGCCTCAACAGGATGCGAATGTCGCTCGGTAGGACCCGCTGCCATCGTGTCAGTGCTGGGTGTAGCTGGTTCCGATGCAGCAAGGGCTCGGAGCGCCGGCTGGTAGTCAGTAGCTGAGGCGACGCTTGCTACAGCAACTAGCGCGGTGACGGCAAGAGCAGTGCACTTCATGGTCGATTTGGTCGGCTGGTCGAGTACTTGCTCGCTAGGTGTTGGTGTGGTAGTGCCAGTTGGTTTGTGAGTGCGATCGATGTACGAGCTAGCGAGTGGGCTGGTGTTGCGACGAGTGACTCGTCACGTAGCGTCATGGTGACTGCTTCAATTGATTGAGTTGATTGATTGCAAATCGAGTAGATGGTTGAAAAGTCGGCGCGTCTCGATCGCGTTTCCAGTCACGAGCGTGGAATAGAACTTCGAGCGAGGTTTGAATTCCACTGTAGTTTTGTCGACATGATGGACGGTTGATGGTCGTCGAAGAAGGTCGCGGAGGGTGGTAGTCCGGTTCCGTCGCTCATGAATCGGTGGTACCTGCTAGAAGACAACCATAAGTAGAACGGTGGAGGTCCATAAGTAGAACGGTGGAGGTGTGTGTATCTCTGGCTGGTGATCAATGTTGGTGACCGACGTCGATGACTGCGTTGTGTCCGTCGACATCAACATCGACGTGGTGACCAAACCAGGTGGCTGCTGAGTTGTGTGTGGACGTCGTCTATGTTTGGTGGCTTGACAATGAATGCAAGGAGGGCCCTTGCGATGACAGTTTGTGCAAGTGGTATGAATACCAGTGCGTTTGTTTGAGATGGACATTGACACTTTTCGGCAATCGATGACATAGAAGGAGAGACTGGACGGAGCATGCTACTCGCGCGAAGAGAAAACGTGTCCGTCGGAACGAGTCGACATGTTCGTGTCGATGTGAACATGCAGATACAAAGACATTGGTCGTGACAAGATGATCTGATCTGAACGTGGTGCTGGAAGAACGTGTTGATCTTAGCGAGGTGGCTGGCTGACAACTGGCTGCAAAGCCTCGACAGTATCTATTTTGGCGAGCTTTAACTAACCTACAGCACCGAAAGTACAGGTGGTCGTTCCTTCCGTCGACAGGTTGACATGCTGAGCCAAGTGATGACGAAAAGTAGCGACAAACAGCCTCACAAACAAGAGCGAGTCCGGCGGTGCACGCAGATTTTTCTTCTTGCTCGGCTTCCGTGTCGTCTCGTTCGTGAGCCCGTCTGCATGCGCTGCAGCATGTCAGTCGGCGCAATGTCCAGTATGTGTGAGGTCTACCATCCCCATCCGCCACCGTATCCTCCCCATCCACCACCGTAGCCACCCCATCCCCCGAAGCCACCCCAGGGACGTCCCCATCCCAAGCCTCCCCACCACTCCTTGGACTTCTTGCCTTCCGCACCGATGACGGCAGTAGGCTCGTTTTCCGCAGCTACATCAGCAGCAGCAGCCTCAACAGGATGCGAATGTCGCTCGGTAGGACCCGCTGCCATCGTGTCAGTGCTGGGTGTAGCTGGTTCCGATGCAGCAAGGGCTCGGAGCGCCGGCTGGTAGTCAGTAGCTGAGGCGACGCTTGCTACAGCAACTAGCGCGGTGACGGCAAGAGCAGTGCACTTCATGGTCGATTTGGTCGGCTGGTCGAGTACTTGCTCGCTAGGTGTTGGTGTGGTAGTGCCAGTTGGTTTGTGAGTGCGATCGATGTACGAGCTAGCGAGTGGGCTGGTGTTGCGACGAGTGACTCGTCACGTAGCGTCATGGTGACTGCTTCAATTGCTTGAGTTGATTGATTGCAAATCGAGTAGATGGTTGAAAAGTCGGCGCGTCTCGATCGCGTTTCCAGTCACGAGCGTGGAATAGAACTTCGAGCGAGGTTTGAATTCCACAGTAGTTTTGTCGACATGATGGACGGTTGATGGTCGTCGAAGAAGGTCGCGGAGGGTGGTAGTCCGGTTCCGTCGCTCATGAATCGGTGGTACCTGCTAGAAGACAACCATAAGTAGAACGGTGGAGGTCCATAAGTAGAACGGTGGAGGCGTGTGTATCTCTGGCTGGTGATCAATGTTGGTGACCGACGTCGATGACTGCGTTGTGTCCGTCGACATCAACATCGACGTGGTGACCAAACCAGGTGGCTGCTGAGTTGTGTGTGGACGTCGTCTATGTTTGGTGGCTTGACAATGAATGCAAGGAGGGCCCTTGCGATGACAGTTTGTGCAAGTGGTATGAATACCAGTGCGTTTGTTTGAGATGGACATTGACACTTTTCGGCAATCGATGACATAGAAGGAGAGACTGGACGGAGCATGCTACTCGCGCGAAGAGAAAACGTGTCCGTCGGAACGAGTCGACATGTTCGTGTCGATGTGAACATGCAGATACAAAGACATTGGTCGTGACAAGATGATCTGATCTGAACGTGGTGCTGGAAGAACGTGTTGATCTTAGCGAGGTGGCTGACTGACAACTGGCTGCAAAGCCTCGACAGTATCTATATTGGCGAGCTTTAACTAACCTACAGCACCGAAAGTACAGGTGGTCGATCCTTCCGTCGACAGGTTGACATGCTGAGCCAAGTGATGACGAAAAGTAGCGACAAACAGCCTCACAAACAAGAGCGAGTCCGGCGGTGCACGCAGATTTTTCTTCTTGCTCGGCTTCCGTGTCGTCTCGTTCGTGGGCCCGTCTGCATGCGCTGCAGCATGTCAGTCGGCGCAATGTCCAGTATGTGTGAGGTCTACCATCCCCATCCGCCACCGTATCCTCCCCATCCACCACCGTAGCCACCCCATCCCCCGAAGCCACCCCAGGGACGTCCCCATCCCAAGCCTCCCCACCACTCCTTGGACTTCTTGCCTTCCGCACCGATGACGGCAGTAGGCTCGTTTTCCGCAGCTACATCAGCAGCAGCAGCCTCAACAGGATGCGAATGTCGCTCGGTAGGACCCGCTGCCATCGTGTCAGTGCTGGGTGTAGCTGGTTCCAATGCAGCAAGGGCTCGGAGCGCCGGCTGGTAGTCAGTAGCTGAGGTGACGCTTGCTACAGCAACTAGCGCGGTGACGGCAAGAGCAGTGCACTTCATGGTCGATTTGGTCGGTTGGTCGAGTACTTGCTCACTAGGTGTTGGTGTGGTAGTGCCAGTTGGTTTGTGAGTGCGATCGATGTACGAGCTAGCGAGTGGGCTGGTGTTGCGACGAGTGACTCGTCACGTAGCGTCATGGTGACTGCTTCAATTGATTGAGTTGATTGATTGCAAATCGAGTAGATGGTTGAAAAGTCGGCGCGTCTCGATCGCGTTTCCAGTCACGAGCGTGGAATAGAACTTCGAGCGAGGTTTGAATTCCACAGTAGTTTTGTCGACATGATGGACGGTTGATGGTCGTCGAAGAAGGTCGCGGAGGGTGGTAGTCCGGTTCCGTCGCTCATGAATCGGTGGTACCTGCTAGAAGACAACCATAAGTAGAACGGTGGAGGTCCATAAGTAGAACGGTGGAGGCGTGTGTATCTCTGGCTGGTGATCAATGTTGGTGACCGACGTCGATGACTGCGTTGTGTCCGTCGACATCAACATCGACGTGGTGACCAAACCAGGTGGCTGCTGAGTTGTGTGTGGACGTCGTCTACGTTTGGTGGCTCGACAATGAATGCAAGGAGGGCCCTTGCGATGACAGTTTGTGCAAGTGGTACGAATACCAGTGCGTTTGTTTGAGATGGACATTGACACTTTTCGGCAATCGATGACATAGAAGGAGAGACTGGACGGAGCATGCTACTCGCGCGAAGAGAAAACGTGTCCGTCGGAACGAGTCGACATGTTCGTGTCGATGTGAACATGCAGATACAAAGACATTGGTCGTGACAAGATGATCTGATCTGAACGTGCTGCTGGAAGAACGTGTTGATCTTAGCGAGGTGGCTGACTGACAACTGGCTGCAAAGCCTCGACAGTATCTATATTGGCGAGCTTTAACTAACCTACAGCACCGAAAGTACAGGTGGTCGATTCTTCCGTCGACAGGTTGACATGCTGAGCCAAGTGATGACGAAAAGTAGCGACAAACAGCCTCACAAACAAGAGCGAGTCCGGCGGTGCACGCAGATTTTTCTTCTTGCTCGGCTTCCGTGTCGTCTCGTTCGTGAGCCCGTCTGCATGCGCTGCAGCATGTCAGTCGGCGCAATGTCCAGTATGTGTGAGGTCTACCATCCCCATCCGCCACCGTATCCTCCCCATCCACCACCGTAGCCACCCCATCCCCCGAAGCCACCCCAGGGACGTCCCCATCCCAAGCCTCCCCACCACTCCTTGGACTTCTTGCCTTCCGCACCGATGACGGCAGTAGGCTCGTTTTCCGCAGCTACATCAGCAGCAGCAGCCTCAACAGGATGCGAATGTCGCTCGGTAGGACCCGCTGCCATCGTGTCAGTGCTGGGTGTAGCTGGTTCCGATGCAGCAAGGGCTCGGAGCGCCGGCTGGTAGTCAGTAGCTGAGGCGACGCTTGCTACAGCAACTAGCGCGGTGACGGCAAGAGCAGTGCACTTCATGGTCGATTTGGTCGGTTGGTCGAGTACTTGCTCGCTAGGTGTTGGTGTGGTAGTGCCAGTTGGTTTGTGAGTGCGATCGATGTACGAGCTAGCGAGTGGGCTGGTGTTGCGACGAGTGACTCGTCACGTAGCGTCATGGTGACTGCTTCAATTGATTGAGTTGATTGATTGCAAATCGAGTAGATGGTTGAAAAGTCGGCGCGTCTCGATCGCGTTTCCAGTCACGAGCGTGGAATAGAACTTCGAGCGAGGTTTGAATTCCACAGTAGTTTTGTCGACATGATGGACGGTTGATGGTCGTCGAAGAAGGTCGCGGAGGGTGGTAGTCCGGTTCCGTCGCTCATGAATCGGTGGTACCTGCTAGAAGACAACCATAAGTAGAACGGTGGAGGTCCATAAGTAGAACGGTGGAGGTGTGTGTATCTCTGGCTGGTGATCAATGTTGGTGACCGACGTCGATGACTGCGTTGTGTCCGTCGACATCAACATCGACGTGGTGACCAAACCAGGTGGCTGCTGAGTTGTGTGTGGACGTCGTCTACGTTTGGTGGCTCGACAATGAATGCAAGGAGGGCCCTTGCGATGACAGTTTGTGCAAGTGGTATGAATACCAGTGCGTTTGTTTGAGATGGACATTGACACTTTTCGGCAATCGATGACATAGAGAAGGAGAGACTGGACGGAGCATGCTACTCGCGCGAAGAGAAAACGTGTCCGTCGGAACGAGTCGACATGTTCGTGTCGATGTGAACATGCAGATACAAAGACATTGGTCGTGACAAGATGATCTGATCTGAACGTGCTGCTGGAAGAACGTGTTGATCTTAGCGAGGTGGCTGACTGACAACTGGCTGCAAAGCCTCGACAGTATCTATATTGGCGAGCTTTAACTAACCTACAGCACCGAAAGTACAGGTGGTCGATTCTTCCGTCGACAGGTTGACATGCTGAGCCAAGTGATGACGAAAAGTAGCGACAAACAGCCTCACAAACAAGAGCGAGTCCGGCGGTGCACGCAGATTTTTCTTCTTGCTCGGCTTCCGTGTCGTCTTGTTCGTGAGCCCGTCTGCATGCGCTGCAGCATGTCAGTCGGCGCAATGTCCAGTATGTGTGAGGTCTACCATCCCCATCCGCCACCGTATCCTCCCCATCCACCACCGTAGCCACCCCATCCCCGAAGCCACCCCAGGGACGTCCCCATCCCAAGCCTCCCCACCACTCCTTGGACTTCTTGCCTTCCGCACCGATGACGGCAGTAGGCTCGTTTTCCGCAGCTACATCAGCAGCAGCCTCAACAGGATGCGAATGTCGCTCGGTAGGACCCGCTGCCATCGTGTCAGTGCTGGGTGTAGCTGGTTCCGATGCAGCAAGGGCTCGGAGCGCCGGCTGGTAGTCAGTAGCTGAGGCGACGCTTGCTACAGCAACTAGCGCGGTGACGGCAAGAGCAGTGCACTTCATGGTCGATTTGGTCGGCTGGTCGAGTACTTGCTCGCTAGGTGTTGGTGTGGTAGTGCCAGTTGGTTTGTGAGTGCGATCGACGTACGAGCTAGCGAGTGGGCTGGTGTTGCGACGAGTGACTCGTCACATAGCGTCATGGTGACTGCTTCAATCGATTGAGTTGATTGATTGCAAATCGAGTAGATGGTTGAAAAGTCGGCGCGTCTCGATCGCGTTTCCAGTCACGAGCGTGGAATAGAACTTCGAGCGAGGTTTGAATTCCGTAGTAGTTCTGTTGACATGATGGACGAGTGATCGTCGTCGAAGAAGGTCGCGGAGGGTGGTAGTCCGGTTCCGTCGCTCATGAATCGGTGGTACCTGCTAGAAGACAACCATAAGTAGAACGGTGAAGGTCCATAAGTAGAACGGTGGAGGTGTGTGTATCTCTGGCTGGTGATCAATGTTGGTGACCGACGTCGATGACTGCGTTGTGTCCGTCGACATCAACATCGACGTGGTGACCAAACCAGGTGGCTGCTGAGTTGTGTGTGGACGTCGTCTATGTTTGGTGGCTCGACAATGAATGCAAGGAGGGCCCTTGCGATGACAGTTTGTGCAAGTGGTATGAATACCAGTGCGTTTGTTTGAGATGGACAATGACACTTTTCGGCAATCGATGACACAGAAGGAGAGAGACTGGACGGAGCATGCTCCTCGCGCGAAGATAAAACGTGTCCGCCTGAACGAGTCGACATGTTCGTGTCGATGTGAACATGCAGATACAAAGACATTGGTCGTGACAAGATGATCTGATCTGAACGTGCTGCTGGAAGAACGTGTTGATCTTAGCGAGGTGGCTGACTGACAACTGGCTGCAAAGCCTCGACAGTATCTATATTGGCGAGCTTTAACTAACCTACAGCACCGAAAGTACAGGTGGTCGATTCTTCCGTCGACAGGTTGACATGCTGAGCCAAGTGGTGACGAAAAGTAGCGACAAACAGCCTCACAAACAAGAGCGAGTCCGGCGGTGCACGCAGATTTTTCTTCTTGCTCGGCTTCCGTGTCGTCTTGTTCGTGAGCCCGTCTGCATGCGCTGCAGCATGTCAGTCGGCGCGATGTCCAGTATGTGTGAGGTCTACCATCCCCATCCGCCACCGTATCCTCCCCATCCACCACCGTAGCCACCCCATCCCCCGAAGCCACCCCAGGGACGTCCCCATCCCAAGCCTCCCCACCACTCCTTGGACTTCTTGCCTTCCGCACCGATGACGGCAGTAGGCTCGTTTTCCGCAGCTACATCAGCAGCAGCCTCGACAGGATGCGAATGTCGCTCGGTAGGACCCGCTGCCATCGTGTCAGTGCTGGGTGTAGCTGGTTCCGATGCAGCAAGGGCTCGGAGCGCCGGCTGGTAGTCAGTAGCTGAGGCGACGCTTGCTACAGCAACTAGCGCGGTGACGGCGAGAGCAGTGCACTTCATGGTCGATTTGGTCGGCTGGTCGAGTACTTGCTCGCTAGGTGTTGGTGTGGTAGTGCCAGTTGGTTTGTGAGTGCGATCGACGTACGAGCTAGCGAGTGGGCTGGTGTTGCGACGAGTGACTCGTCACATAGCGTCATGGTGACTGCTTCAATCGATTGAGTTGATTGATTGCAAATCGAGTAGATGGTTGAAAAGTCGGCGCGTCTCGATCGCGTTTCCAGTCACGAGCGTGGAATAGAACTTCGAGCGAGGTTTGAATTCCACTGTTGTTTTGTCGACATGATGGACGAGTGATGGTCGCCGAAAAAAGTCGCGGAGGGTGGTAGTCCGGTTCCGTCGCTCATGAATCGGTGGTACCTGCTAGAAGACAACCATAAGTAGAACGGTGGAGGTCCATAAGTAGAACGGTGGAGGTGTGTGTATCTCTGGCTGGTGATCAATGTTGGTGACCGACGTCGATGACTGCGTTGTGTCCGTCGACATCAACATCGACGTGGTGACCAAACCAGGTGGCTGCTGAGTTGTGTGTGGACGTCGTCTATGTTTGGTGGCTCGACAATGAATGCAAGGAGGGCCCTTGCGATGACAGTTTGTGCAAGTGGTATGAATACCAGTGCGTTTGTTTGAGATGGACAATGACACTTTTCGGCAATCGATGACACAGAAGGAGAGACTGGACGGAGCATGCTCCTCGCGCGAAGATAAAACGTGTCCGCCTGAACGAGTCGACATGTTCGTGTCGATGTGAACATGCAGATACAAAGACATTGGTCGTGACAAGATGATCTGATCTGAACGTGCTGCTGGAAGAACGTGTTGATCTTAGCGAGGTGGCTGACTGACAACTGGCTGCAAAGCCTCGACAGTATCTATATTGGCGAGCTTTAACTAACCTACAGCACCGAAAGTACAGGTGGTCGATTCTTCCGTCGACAGGTTGACATGCTGAGCCAAGTGGTGACGAAAAGTAGCGACAAACAGCCTCACAAACAAGAGCGAGTCCGGCGGTGCACGCAGATTTTTCTTCTTGCTCGGCTTCCGTGTCGTCTTGTTCGTGAGCCCGTCTGCATGCGCTGCAGCATGTCAGTCGGCGCGATGTCCAGTATGTGTGAGGTCTACCATCCCCATCCGCCACCGTATCCTCCCCATCCACCACCGTAGCCACCCCATCCCCCGAAGCCACCCCAGGGACGTCCCCATCCCAAGCCTCCCCACCACCTTGGACTTCTTGCCTTCCGCACCGATGACGGCAGTAGGCTCGTTTTCCGCAGCTACATCAGCAGCAGCAGCCTCAACAGGATGTCGCTCGGTAGGACCCGCTGCCATCGTGTCAGTGCTGGGTGTAGCTGGTTCCGATGCAGCAAGGGCTCGGAGCGCCGGCTGGTAGTCAGTAGCTGAGGCGACGCTTGCTACAGCAACTAGCGCGGTGACGGCGAGAGCAGTGCACTTCATGGTCGATTTGGTCGGCTGGTCGAGTACTTGCTCGCTAGGTGTTGGTGTGGTAGTGCCAGTTGGTTTGTGAGTGCGATCGACGTACGAGCTAGCGAGTGGGCTGGTGTTGCGACGAGTGACTCGTCACATAGCGTCATGGTGACTGCTTCAATCGATTGAGTTGATTGATTGCAAATCGAGTAGATGGTTGAAAAGTCGGCGCGTCTCGATCGCGTTTCCAGTCACGAGCGTGGAATAGAACTTCGAGCGAGGTTTGAATTCCACTGTTGTTTTGTCGACATGATGGACGGTTGATCGTCGTCGAAGAAGGTCGCGGAGGGTGGTAGTCCGGTTCCGTCGCTCATGAATCGGTGGTACCTGCTAGAAGACAACCATAAGTAGAACGGTGGAGGTCCATAAGTAGAACGGTGGAGGTGTGTGTATCTCTGGCTGGTGATCAATGTTGGTGACCGACGTCGATGACTGCGTTGTGTCCGTCGACATCAACATCGACGTGGTGACCAAACCAGGTGGCTGCTGAGTTGTGTGTGGACGTCGTCTATGTTTGGTGGCTCGACAATGAATGCAAGGAGGGCCCTTGCGATGACAGTTTGTGCAAGTGGTATGAATACCAGTGCGTTTGTTTGAGATGGACAATGACACTTTTCGGCAATCGATGACACAGAAGGAGAGACTGGACGGAGCATGCTACTCGCGCGAAGATAAAACGTGTCCGCCTGAACGAGTCGACATGTTCGTGTCGATGTGAACATGCAGATACAAAGACATTGGTCGTGACAAGATGATCTGATCTGAACGTGCTGCTGGAAGAACGTGTTGATCTTAGCGAGGTGGCTGACTGACAACTGGCTGCAAAGCCTCGACAGTATCTATATTGGCGAGCTTTAACTAACCTACAGCACCGAAAGTACAGGTGGTCGATTCTTCCGTCGACAGGTTGACATGCTGAGCCAAGTGGTGACGAAAAGTAGCGACAAACAGCCTCACAAACAAGAGCGAGTCCGGCGGTGCACGCAGATTTTTCTTCTTGCTCGGCTTCCGTGTCGTCTTGTTCGTGAGCCCGTCTGCATGCGCTGCAGCATGTCAGTCGGCGCGATGTCCAGTATGTGTGAGGTCTACCATCCCCATCCGCCACCGTATCCTCCCCATCCACCACCGTAGCCACCCCATCCCCCGAAGCCACCCCAGGGACGTCCCCATCCCAAGCCTCCCCACCACTCCTTGGACTTCTTGCCTTCCGCACCGATGACGGCAGTAGGCTCGTTTTCCGCAGCTACATCAGCAGCAGCAGCCTCGACAGGATGCGAATGTCGCTCGGTAGGACCCGCTGCCATCGTGTCAGTGCTGGGTGTAGCTGGTTCCGATGCAGCAAGGGCTCGGAGCGCCGGCTGGTAGTCAGTAGCTGAGGCGACGCTTGCTACAGCAACTAGCGCGGTGACGGCGAGAGCAGTGCACTTCATGGTCGATTTGGTCGGCTGGTCGAGTACTTGCTCGCTAGGTGTTGGTGTGGTAGTGCCAGTTGGTTTGTGAGTGCGATCGACGTACGAGCTAGCGAGTGGGCTGGTGTTGCGACGAGTGACTCGTCACATAGCGTCATGGTGACTGCTTCAATCGATTGAGTTGATTGATTGCAAATCGAGTAGATGGTTGAAAAGTCGGCGCGTCTCGATCGCGTTTCCAGTCACGAGCGTGGAATAGAACTTCGAGCGAGGTTTGAATTCCACTGTTGTTTTGTCGACATGATGGACGGTTGATCGTCGTCGAAGAAGGTCGCGGAGGGTGGTAGTCCGGTTCCGTCGCTCATGAATCGGTGGTACCTGCTAGAAGACAACCATAAGTAGAACGGTGGAGGTCCATAAGTAGAACGGTGGAGGTGTGTGTATCTCTGGCTGGTGATCAATGTTGGTGACCGACGTCGATGACTGCGTTGTGTCCGTCGACATCAACATCGACGTGGTGACCAAACCAGGTGGCTGCTGAGTTGTGTGTGGACGTCGTCTATGTTTGGTGGCTCGACAATGAATGCAAGGAGGGCCCTTGCGATGACAGTTTGTGCAAGTGGTATGAATACCAGTGCGTTTGTTTGAGATGGACAATGACACTTTTCGGCAATCGATGACACAGAAGGAGAGACTGGACGGAGCATGCTCCTCGCGCGAAGATAAAACGTGTCCGCCTGAACGAGTCGACATGTTCGTGTCGATGTGAACATGCAGATACAAAGACATTGGTCGTGACAAGATGATCTGATCTGAACGTGCTGCTGGAAGAACGTGTTGATCTTAGCGAGGTGGCTGACTGACAACTGGCTGCAAAGCCTCGACAGTATCTATATTGGCGAGCTTTAACTAACCTACAGCACCGAAAGTACAGGTGGTCGATTCTTCCGTCGACAGGTTGACATGCTGAGCCAAGTGGTGACGAAAAGTAGCGACAAACAGCCTCACAAACAAGAGCGAGTCCGGCGGTGCACGCAGATTTTTCTTCTTGCTCGGCTTCCGTGTCGTCTTGTTCGTGAGCCCGTCTGCATGCGCTGCAGCATGTCAGTCGGCGCGATGTCCAGTATGTGTGAGGTCTACCATCCCCATCCGCCACCGTATCCTCCCCATCCACCACCGTAGCCACCCCATCCCCCGAAGCCACCCCAGGGACGTCCCCATCCCAAGCCTCCCCACCACTCCTTGGACTTCTTGCCTTCCGCACCGATGACGGCAGTAGGCTCGTTTTCCGCAGCTACATCAGCAGCAGCCTCGACAGGATGCGAATGTCGCTCGGTAGGACCCGCTGCCATCGTGTCAGTGCTGGGTGTAGCTGGTTCCGATGCAGCAAGGGCTCGGAGCGCCGGCTGGTAGTCAGTAGCTGAGGCGACGCTTGCTACAGCAACTAGCGCGGTGACGGCGAGAGCAGTGCACTTCATGGTCGATTTGGTCGGCTGGTCGAGTACTTGCTCGCTAGGTGTTGGTGTGGTAGTGCCAGTTGGTTTGTGAGTGCGATCTGTAACGGGGTGAATCGTTACATAACAATTTATAAGAAATTGTTAATAGAATATAACTATAAGAGTTATATTCTCAGAATATTGTCATAAGGACAATATTCTGTAGCACTTCCAAGTAGTTCCTAATTGGTTGATATAGGCCATTATATCAACCAACGAAGACGCGCCACGACAGACGCACGCAATGAGTGGTGAGCAGATAACTGATTTACACATTTGTATTTAGACATAGTTAGATGAAGATAAATAGTGATTTATTGCAGACATTAACTATTATAAATACAGTTCTACTTTTTACTCTAACCGAGTACTCGCTTCTTCTTACCGTCTTCCTCTGCACGTACGAGTGTACGTGAAGTTACGAGGCACCGCCTTATTCTGTTATCAGAATAAGTAGCTTGTACTGTCACCAGTACAAGCTTCAGGGTGCCCCGTTACACCTGGTAGCACTTCGTAGTCCGTCCAAGGACCGCGTTCACATCCAACATGAATATGTTGGATGATGAAGATGACCAAAGCTTTCACGCTACGCGTGACGGCTACTCCCATTTGAGCGATGTCGAATGGGATGCGGTTGAACGAATGGGTTCGACCATGGGCATCCATGCTGTTAGCGTCATGCTAGAGGCTCTCAATAGAGATGCCCAACATGCTACTATCGCCAAGTTCATTCAAAATGAACTTGACGCAGAACGCGAGAAAGTAGCCTTGCTTCACCAACAAGGTTCTCAACAAGCAGAGTTGTTGAGAGAACAAGGTGCTCAACAGTTTGAACTGTTGAGACAGCAGCAGGCTGCTGCTGGCGGGTCGATGCACTCGCGTCGGCCCGAGACTTTGAAGATTGACATCTCAAAGTATAGGGGGTCGAAGAAGACTCCCTCTTGAGATGGTTCGTCGAATTGGATGACGCCATAAGGGCGCGTCGCATCGACGACGGGGATATGCAAGTTGCATTTGCCCAATCAAATCTGGCAGGACGTGCCAAGACTTGGGCACTGGGGCTCAAGCTGCACGACCCATATGCGTTTGGGTCGTTGGAAGTCTTCAAGTCGCGGCTCAGACAAACGTTTGAACCGCCTAGAGCTGAGTTCAGGGCTCGAACCGAACTCTTGAAGCTCAAGCAGGGTAAGCGTGATGTGCACGCTTACGCTCAACATATACGACATCTTACGAGTTGTATAAGTTCCAATCCAGTGGATGAACACACGTTGGTTTCGGTGTTCATGCAGGGTCTTGCGGATGGTCCCGTCAAGACTCACCTGTTCCGGCTTGAACTAGATTCACTAGAACAAGCCATTTCCATTGCGGAGCAGGAAGACTTCAGTCTGAGACAGGCTCGCGCCAGCTCGACATCATATCGTCAACCGAGACGATATGACAACGGAGGTCCAGAGCCGATGGAACTCTGTTATGTAGAGAGCGAGAAGGCTCGCTCTACAGGCTACAAGAAGTTGCAGAGATGCAACAGATGTCAAAAGACAGGACACTACGCTTACGAGTGTAGTGCCCCTCGTCCAGTGTCTCGCGACACTGGGCGTAGTGACCGTCCACCCATGAGAAAGGGGCAGGGACGAGGGTCCGCAGTTGGTGCAAAGACGCAACAACGGGATGGACCGTCAAAAAACGGACAGGATCAGTAGGTGCGGAGCACCCTACTGATCCAGCAACGTCAAGAGAATTTGTAGGCCTCTTGATGAAGGTTGCTCCCAACACACAGACATTGTGCGTTGCTGCTCCTAGGTAATGAGATCTCACTCATTACCTTGAAACTCGAAGTGACGAATAAGTTGTCCCTTCGAGCTCTAGTCGATTGTGGGGCGTCCAACAATTTTGTGCGACGCCAATCGCTAGAAGATGGTCACTTTAAATTCAGTGAATGTGACACACCTCCTACGAGGATGACGGTACGTCTTGCGACAGGCGCATCCGTAATCAGTCATGAAGCGTATAGTGAAGATCCACTATACGCTAGAAGATACCCAATACGACGATGACTTTATCGTATTGGATTTGGATGACAAATTTGATGTCATCCTTGGAATACCGTGGCTCAGAAGGTACGAACCACGGGTAAACTGGCAACATCGGACAGTAACGATGCCTGCCGCTTGTTCATCAGATGGCCATCTGATGAACGTTTTGGAGCGTCCACAAGCGTGTGGATGTACTACGAGTGAGTGCGATGGCCTCACTTGTGGTACGGTCGTTAGTACGACTGCACAAAACCTTAGTGTACCAAACGGTTACACTTCGGAGCAAAGTTCCGGCGGCTGTGAGGAAACACAGGCTGCGCCGAAGGTCCACCACTCGAATAAGTCGGGTGGACTGGGACAAAGATGTATCCCTAGAGGGGAACATCTAGAAGAGAAACAATCGATCGCTCAGGTTAAGCGAAACGATAATCCTAGATCGACTGGAGAGTCTTTCGTAGAGGATCTCGCTGTGGTTGCGCAACCCCAGCTAGAGGAAGTAAAGGGAATAAGTCCCAAGATTACAAATACGGCGGAAATAAGTTCCCCGAAACCCGCGGGAATAAGTCCTCGGGAAGACGAAGGAATAAGTCCTTCGAAGCCTGAGGGAATAAGTCCCCAGGAAATGACAGAGACATTGAATGTCATAGTCAATAACGGATCATGTGTAGGCGCTTATACACTTGATCTGATTGCGCCTCCGAAGTTAACTTCGGAGATCACTCAGTTGCCAACGCTCGAACATAAAAGGTTCTTGCGTGATCTGCGTAGTGGCAAAGTCAAGCAGATCTGCATACTCGTCGCTGACGACGAGTGTGTAACCGACATAAGGTCAGCAACAGTGTTTACTGAGAACGAGAGAGTTCTCAGTAGTTCATCTATGGACGAGAGTGTCCTAGATGAAAAGACACGAATTGAGCGATATGAGTCCCAATCATGGGAATCGCTCAAGGAAAACCCTCTCTATGAGGATTTGGTTGAATTCAAGGATGTATTCCCTGAAACTGTTCCGTGCGAATTACCGAAGGATAAAGGTATTCGACACGAAGTCGAGCTTAAACCAGGCTCGAAGTACTGTGTCATGAAGCAGTGGCCACTGCCTCGTGAACAAGTACTTGCGATCGACAAGTTCTTTGCCGATCGTTTAGCAGCGGGCCATGTGAGGGAATCAACTTCCCCACATAGCTCTCCGACCTTCTGTGTGCGAAAAGCAACAGGAGGGTGGCGGATAGTGCACGCGTTCAACAAATTGAACGCTGCAACGGTACCGGCTCAGACGCCGATACCGAGGAAGGACGTAATCATTGATGGTATGTCAAAGAGTACCATCTTTTCGTCCATGGATTTGATGGATGGCTTCTATCAAATCCTAATGCGGGAACGGGATATACCCTATACCGCAGTTAGCACGCCTAGCGGCATGCTCTGGGAATGGCTAGTAATGCCACAAGGGCTCAGTAATGCCCCTGCCACGTTCAACAGGTGTGTATCACATCTGTTGAGGCCAGTACGAGAATTCGCGCCGAGTTATTTCGATGACGTATTCATCCATAGTCGAGCTATGGATGGAAAGTCGGACGTTGAGGTTCACAAGTACCACGTCCGACAAGTTCTTACAATCATGCGAAAGCATCAATTGTATGCAAACCTCAAGAAGTGTATATTTGCAGCAAGCGAAATACCACTTCTTGGGTGCATCGTTGGTAAGAACGGTGTACGTCCTGATCCCGAAAAGATCAAGGCGATCACCGACTGGCCTGTGCCGGTCGATGTCAAAGGTCTTCGAAAATTCCTTGGGCTAGCGGCGTATTTGCATAAGTATTCACGCAATTACGCCGAGATGACTGTGCACCTCTCTCGTTTGTTGAAAAAGAACGAGAGGTGGTTATGGAACGCTGAATGTCAACGCTCCTTTGAGGGTATCAAGCAGAGCTTGATACAATCCCCAGTCCTAGCAATAGCCGATCAGGACAGGCCATTTCATGTGGTCTGTGATGCCAGCGATTTCGCAATCGGCTGTGCATTAATGCAGTACGACCTTGAAGGCGTTGAACGCGTCGTCTGCTATCAGTCGCGTCAGCTGCAACCAGCTGAGCGGAACTATCCAGTGCATGACAAGGAACTCCTTGCCATGAAGTATGCACTAGCGAAGTTCAGAGTCTATCTATTAGGAGATAGACCCTTCGTTGTTTACACTGACCATGCGTCCTTACGCACGGCAGTGAACAGCCCGCACCTTTCACAACGAATGGCGCGGTGGTTGTCATTCTTTGCAGAATACAACTTTACGGTCGAGTACAAACCAGGACGACTTAATGTCGTCGCTGATGCACTCTCACGTCGTCCCGACTTTGAAACAGTCGCGAAACCCAACAGTGAGACAGTCACTGTTGCGGTTATGACGTCCTCAGTTCCATCTACAACGTTGTATGATGATGTGAGGCGGGCATACGCCCAAGATGGTGAGATAGTGAAGTTGTTGTCACATCTCTCCCAACCATCCCGAGAATCGTTGAAACGATTGTCGTCTGCGTATCGATCTGCATCAGATCGATACACTACTCGTAACGGTTTACTGTATTATACAGCCGTTTCTGGTGACACACCACGTGTTGTCATTCCAGATGATACTGATCTGCGTTTGCGGATCATGTTCGAGTATCACGATGCTCCTATAGGAGGACATCGTGGCCGAGAGAAAACATATCTCACGGTAAGTCGAGACTTTTACTGGCCCCGCCAGTATCAGTTTGTGCGAAAGTATGTTCGCGCATGCGAAGTCTGCCAACGAGTGAAGTCAAGTCCTTCACTGCGTGCACCTTTACAGCCTCTACCGGTTCCGGCTGAGTGCTGGGAATCCATCTCACGGATTTCGTCTTCGGGTTACCCAAAGACGCACGCGGGAATACGGGTATTCTCGTATTTGTTGACAGATTCAGCAAAATGGTACACCTTGTGGCTGTACCAGAGACAATCACGGCAAGTGGCTGTGCTTGTGTCTTTATTGACACCATCTTCCGACTTCATGGGTTGCCCCGTGAACTCGTATCAGACAGAGATCCACGATTCACTGCTGATTTCTGGCGTTCCGTGTTCCAATCACTCGGAACGCGCTTGAAGATGTCAACATCTGATCATCCAGAGTCAGATGGTCAGACGGAACGTGCCAACCGTGTCCTCGAAGAGATACTTCGAGGATACGTACACTCCTTTAAAAGTTGGAGTGAGTTTTTGCCGATGGTAGAGTTTGCCATCAACAACTCGGTGCATGCTTCCACGACACATACACCGTTTTACGTGAATGGCTTGCGCCATCCGCGTGTACCCACCTTACTAGAGTGTAACTCTGGTTTAAGGGGGGGAGGGACTCGCGCGAGCAAAAACCGATTTGGTTCACGCTCATCACGCTCTGACGAAGAAGTCATTGCGTTTGATGCCGATATCGATAACATCGATATCGAAGAAGATGATGCCAGTGAGAGTGCGGAAGCCCTCACTGAAGACAATGATCCCAGTGAGAGTGCGGAAGCCCTCACTGAAGAAAAGGTTGTTGTCGCTGCAGTGCGCTCACAGCACACTGAAGCTAACGAGTCATCAGATGAGTTCATACTGGCTCGTGAAACGGTAGTCCGTTTTGTGCAAGACTCCATCGCCGAAGCGGTGGATAAGCAAAAGCAAAACGCTGACAAGAATGGAAGGGCAAACAATCTTTTATTTAATAAAGGTGACTTAGTCCTACTGTCTACGGTTAATCTACCAAAACATGTAGTGACTAACTTGGGTAGCAGTAAACTACTACCCAAGTACATTCGCCTCCATTTCGTGTATTGCACCGCCTAGGCAATGCATACACGATCGAGTTACCACGTAAGATGCGAACGCATCCCACGTTTTACGTTGGTCGGCTTAAGCCGTACCATCAGTACGCTGCTTCTTCCGATGAAGAACGCCCTTGCGCTCAAGCATCTCGCAGAGAGCCTTGTGCTCCCGATGGTGGGCATCAACAAGGGTCTGAAGAGCAGTTATCTCAGCCCGAGACCGATCAACAATCCCACGAGCTACCCTTAGCTCGTCACGAAGAGATGTCAGAGATCTCTCGTTCTCAAGCTGAGCAAAGGCAAACTCAGCTCGATGCTTCGAGGCAGTGTCCACCATCTGGAGACGCCTATTCCGCTCATGCTCGAGATCGTCGCGTAACCCTTGCGTTACGCGATCAAAGAAGCTCTCGGGAACACACCGATCCACATGATCGTGTGGAGAGCGTCTTTCCTCCTCCTCCACCTCCATTAGAGGACTCTCGCGGTGGCCAGCGCCATCTAGTAGAGCAGCTGTTGAACCACCGCGACGTGAACGGACGTCGGACGAGTTACCTCGTCCGGTGGCGCGGCTATCCCCCGTCCTGGGATTCTTGGGAGCCCCGCTCCCACTGATGGTTGACGTACTGGGTCTGGTCGAGCAGTACGACGCGACACATCCTGTGCCGCAGAAGGACCGCCGGAGAAAGTCTTCCTGGCACGGTCGTAAAGGGATTTCAGGTTGTCAATCCCTTCGTACATCTCAGTAGAGACACGTACGCGCCACCACGGGCTGGTAAGGAGGTAAGCCTCCTTAGGTGCTCGTGCAGAGTTGTTCACACAACATGGGCACGAGTCTCCCCAAGAGAGGCAGGGTAATCCTTTCTCCCTTGACAGACGATGCAGCTTATAGCGTGCACCTGTCGGGGTTCGCTTTTCAAACTTATCACGAGCTTTGATAAGTTTGTCGTTCCAAGCGTCACGACCTACATCCTCGAGATTATGGATGTAGGCGTTCCACGCCTGAAGTAGTGAGGGACCATCACGTTTGTGATTCCCACTGTACCATCGATGTCTGAAGAAAGCATCGATGAAGAACTCCGCGTTCAGCGCGATAGTCTTTCGCGCTGGGGTCAAGGTGATGAATCTTGACGAATCGAACAATCGTGTCTCGATAACGATCACTCGTCGTCGCCGACAAGTGATCCATGACAGATTTAGGAGGCATCCATGCCTTCTTTCTCTGGAGCGAGACGCAACACATTGCGGTCCCGCTCTTCCTGCGACGTGCCGACAGAAGTACTGGCACTCGCTGTGAAGTGGTGTCCATTGGAGAAACGACACCACTATTAGCGCCCGAGTCTCGCGACCTCGAGCGCCTTCGCTTCGGCGATGGTTCATCTGACTCATCAGATGAACCAAAGATGCTGCGACGCAAAGCATCGTCCATGCCACGCTTGGCAGGCGGCTTGGATTCAATTGCCGTCGATACGGATCCGTCATCCGTATCAGGAGAGTACGAGACACCGAGCTCGTACTCTGTGAAGACACGAGTGTCTTCATGACCAGCGCCTGCATCACCAGGTGATACAGGCTGAGTCGATTCAGCAACCGATGGGATATCAGTTGCTGTAGTTTCTGCTTCGGCGTCCGCACAGAGACGTGCAGACGCGCTCTCGGCGGCCTTGCTCGCGCATCGCATGGGCTTGTTTACCATGCGATGAGATGTTGGAAAGTGGACGCGGACCAACAAGTGCAAACCCCGTCCCAAATGATTTGGGACGAGTATCCATTTAGTCAATCAGTCACTAAGGTGACTGATGGTTAAGGGGGGTGATGTAACGGGGTGAATCGTTACATAACAATTTATAAGAAATTGTTAATAGAATATAACTATAAGAGTTATATTCTCAGAATATTGTCATAAGGACAATATTCTGTAGCACTTCAGTAATGTCCAATTTGTATTAGGTTGATATAGGCCATTATATCAACCAACGAAGACACGCCACGACAGACGCACGCAAGGGAGGTGCATCAAGTATAACTGTTGAACATTTGAATTAAGTACATAGTTAGATGAAGATAAATAGTGATTTATTGCAGACATTAACTATCACTAAATACAGTTCTACTTTACTCTAACCGTAGTACCCGCTTCCTCGTGTCAGTCTGGGTGTACCTGGTTCCTATGCAGCAAGGCTCGGAGCGCCGCTGGTAGTCAGTAGCTGAGGCAACGCTTGCTACAGCAACTAGCGCGGTGACGGCAAACAGTGCACTTCATGGTCGATTTTCGTCTACTTCTCCAGGTGTTTAGTGCCAGTTGGTTACGATCGACGTACGAGCTAGCGAGTGGGCTGGTGTTGCGACGAGTGACTCGTCACATAGCGTCATGGTGACTGCTTCAATCGATTGAGTTGATTGATTGCAAATCGAGTAGATGGTTGAAAAGTCGGCGCGTCTCGATCGCGTTTCCAGTCACGAGCGTGGAATGAACTTCGAGCGAGGTTTGAATTCCACAGTAGTTTTGTCGACATGATGGACGGTTGATGGTCGTCGAAGAAGGTCGCGGAGGGTGGTAGTCCGGTTCCGTCGCTCATGAATCGGTGGTACCTGCTAGAAGACAACCATAAGTAGAACGGTGGAGGTCCATAAGTAGAACGGTGGAGGCGTGTGTATCTCTGGCTGGTGATCAATGTTGGTGACCGACGTCGATGACTGCGTTGTGTCCGTCGACATCAACATCGACGTGGTGACCAAACCAGGTGGCTGCTGAGTTGTGTGTGGACGTCGTCTATGTTTGGTGGCTCGACAATGAATGCAAGGAGGGCCCTTGCGATGACAGTTTGTGCAAGTGGTATGAATACCAGTGCGTTTGTTTGAGATGGACAATGACACTTTTCGGCAATCGATGACACAGAAGGAGAGACTGGACGGAGCATGCTACTCGCGCGAAGATAAAACGTGTCCGTCTGAACGAGTCGACATGTTCGTGTCGATGTGAACATGCAGATACAAAGACATTGGTCGTGACAAGATGATCTGATCTGAACGTGCTGCTGGAAGAACGTGTTGATCTTAGCGAGGTGGCTGACTGACAACTGGCTGCAAAGCCTCGACAGTATCTATATTGGCGAGCTTTAACTAACCTACAGCACCGAAAGTACAGGTGGTCGATTCTTCCGTCGACAGGTTGACATGCTGAGCCAAGTGGTGACGAAAAGTAGCGACAAACAGCCTCACAAACAAGAGCGAGTCCGGCGGTGCACGCAGATTTTTCTTCTTGCTCGGCTTCCGTGTCGTCTTGTTCGTGAGCCCGTCTGCATGCGCTGCAGCATGTCAGTCGGCGCGATGTCCAGTATGTGTGAGGTCTACCATCCCCATCCGCCACCGTATCCTCCCCATCCACCACCGTAGCCACCCCATCCCCCGAAGCCACCCCAGGGACGTCCCCATCCCAAGCCTCCCCCACCACTCCTTGGACTTCTTGCCTTCCGCACCGATGACGGCAGTAGGCTCGTTTTCCGCAGCTACATCAGCAGCAGCCTCAACAGGATGCGAATGTCGCTCGGTAGGACCCGCTGCCATCGTGTCAGTGCTGGGTGTAGCTGGTTCCGATGCAGCAAGGGCTCGGAGCGCCGGCTGGTAGTCAGTAGCTGAGGCGACGCTTGCTACAGCAACTAGCGCGGTGACGGCGAGAGCAGTGCACTTCATGGTCGATTTGGTCGGCTGGTCGAGTACTTGCTCGCTAGGTGTTGGTGTGGTAGTGCCAGTTGGTTTGTGAGTGCGATCGATGTACGAGCTAGCGAGTGGGCTGGTGTTGCGACGAGTGACTCGTCACATAGCGTCATGGTGACTGCTTCAATCGATTGAGTTGATTGATTGCAAATCGAGTAGATGGTTGAAAAGTCGGCGCGTCTCGATCGCGTTTCCAGTCACGAGCGTGGAATAGAACTTCGAGCGAGGTTTGAATTCCACAGTAGTTTTGTCGACATGATGGACGGTTGATGGTCGTCGAAGAAGGTCGCGGAGGGTGGTAGTCCGGTTCCGTCGCTCATGAATCGGTGGTACCTGCTAGAAGACAACCATAAGTAGAACGGTGGAGGTCCATAAGTAGAACGGTGGAGGCGTGTGTATCTCTGGCTGGTGATCAATGTTGGTGACCGACGTCGATGACTGCGTTGTGTCCGTCGACATCAACATCGACGTGGTGACCAAACCAGGTGGCTGCTGAGTTGTGTGTGGACGTCGTCTATGTTTGGTGGCTCGACAATGAATGCAAGGAGGGCCCTTGCGATGACAGTTTGTGCAAGTGGTATGAATACCAGTGCGTTTGTTTGAGATGGACATTGACACTTTTCGGCAATCGATGACACAGAAGGAGAGACTGGACGGAGCATGCTACTCGCGCGAAGAGAAAACGTGTCCGCCTGAACGAGTCGACATGTTCGTGTCGATGTGAACATGCAGATACAAAGACATTGGTCGTGACAAGATGATCTGATCTGAACGTGCTGCTGGAAGAACGTGTTGATCTTAGCGAGGTGGCTGACTGACAACTGGCTGCAAAGCCTCGACAGTATCTATATTGGCGAGCTTTAACTAACCTACAGCACCGAAAGTACAGGTGGTCGATTCTTCCGTCGACAGGTTGACATGCTGAGCCAAGTGGTGACGAAAAGTAGCGACAAACAGCCTCACAAACAAGAGCGAGTCCGGCGGTGCACGCAGATTTTTCTTCTTGCTCGGCTTCCGTGTCGTCTTGTTCGTGAGCCCGTCTGCATGCGCTGCAGCATGTCAGTCGGCGCAATGTCCAGTATGTGTGAGGTCTACCATCCCCATCCGCCACCGTATCCTCCCCATCCACCACCGTAGCCACCCCATCCCCGAAGCCACCCCAGGGACGTCCCCATCCCAAGCCTCCCCACCACTCCTTGGACTTCTTGCCTTCCGCACCGATGACGGCAGTAGGCTCGTTTTCCGCAGCTACATCAGCAGCAGCCTCAACAGGATGCGAATGTCGCTCGGTAGGACCCGCTGCCATCGTGTCAGTGCTGGGTGTAGCTGGTTCCGATGCAGCAAGGGCTCGGAGCGCCGGCTGGTAGTCAGTAGCTGAGGCGACGCTTGCTACAGCAACTAGCGCGGTGACGGCGAGAGCAGTGCACTTCATGGTCGATTTGGTCGGCTGGTCGAGTACTTGCTCGCTAGGTGTTGGTGTGGTAGTGCCAGTTGGTTTGTGAGTGCGATCGATGTACGAGCTAGCGAGTGGGCTGGTGTTGCGACGAGTGACTCGTCACGTAGCGTCATGGTGACTGCTTCAATCGATTGAGTTGATTGATTGCAAATCGAGTAGATGGTTGAAAAGTCGGCGCGTCTCGATCGCGTTTCCAGTCACGAGCGTGGAATAGAACTTCGAGCGAGGTTTGAATTCCACAGTAGTTTTGTCGACATGATGGACGGTTGATGGTCGTCGAAGAAGGTCGCGGAGGGTGGTAGTCCGGTTCCGTCGCTCATGAATCGGTGGTACCTGCTAGAAGACAACCATAAGTAGAACGGTGAAGGTCCATAAGTAGAACGGTGGAGGCGTGTGTATCTCTGGCTGGTGATCAATGTTGGTGACCGACGTCGATGACTGCGTTGTGTCCGTCGACATCAACATCGACGTGGTGACCAAACCAGGTGGCTGCTGAGTTGTGTGTGGACGTCGTCTATGTTTGGTGGCTTGACAATGAATGCAAGGAGGGCCCTTGCGATGACAGTTTGTGCAAGTGGTATGAATACCAGTGCGTTTGTTTGAGATGGACATTGACACTTTTCGGCAATCGATGACATAGAAGGAGAGACTGGACGGAGCATGCTACTCGCGCGAAGATAAAACGTGTCCGTCTGAACGAGTCGACATGTTCGTGTCGATGTGAACATGCAGATACAAAGACATTGGTCGTGACAAGATGATCTGATCTGAACGTGCTGCTGGAAGAACGTGTTGATCTTAGCGAGGTGGCTGACTGACAACTGGCTGCAAAGCCTCGACAGTATCTATATTGGCGAGCTTTAACTAACCTACAGCACCGAAAGTACAGGTGGTCGATTCTTCCGTCGACAGGTTGACATGCTGAGCCAAGTGGTGACGAAAAGTAGCGACAAACAGCCTCACAAACAAGAGCGAGTCCGGCGGTGCACGCAGATTTTTCTTCTTGCTCGGCTTCCGTGTCGTCTCGTTCGTGAGCCCGTCTGCATGCGCTGCAGCATGTCAGTCGGCGCAATGTCCAGTATGTGTGAGGTCTACCATCCCCATCCGCCACCGTATCCTCCCCCATCCACCACCGTAGCCACCCCATCCCCCGAAGCCACCCCCAGGGACGTCCCCATCCCAAGCCTCCCCCACCACCTCCTTGGACTTCTTGCCTTCCGCACCGATGACGGCAGTAGGCTCGTTTTCCGCAGCTACATCAGCAGCAGCCTCAACAGGATGCGAATGTCGCTCGGTAGGACCCGCTGCCATCGTGTCAGTGCTGGGTGTAGCTGGTTCCGATGCAGCAAGGGCTCGGAGCGCCGGCTGGTAGTCAGTAGCTGAGGTGACGCTTGCTACAGCAACTAGCGCGGTGACGGCGAGAGCAGTGCACTTCATGGTCGATTTGGTCGGCTGGTCGAGTACTTGCTCGCTAGGTGTTGGTGTGGTAGTGCCAGTTGGTTTGTGAGTGCGATCGATGTACGAGCTAGCGAGTGGGCTGGTGTTGCGACGAGTGACTCGTCACATAGCGTCATGGTGACTGCTTCAATCGATTGAGTTGATTGATTGCAAATCGAGTAGATGGTTGAAAAGTCGGCGCGTCTCGATCGCGTTTCCAGTCACGAGCGTGGAATAGAACTTCGAGCGAGGTTTGAATTCCACTGTAGTTTTGTCGACATGATGGACGGTTGATGGTCGTCGAAGAAGGTCGCGGAGGGTGGTAGTCCGGTTCCGTCGCTCATGAATCGGTGGTACCTGCTAGAAGACAACCATAAGTAGAACGGTGGAGGTCCATAAGTAGAACGGTGGAGGCGTGTGTATCTCTGGCTGGTGATCAATGTTGGTGACCGACGTCGATGACTGCGTTGTGTCCGTCGACATCAACATCGACGTGGTGACCAAACCAGGTGGCTGCTGAGTTGTGTGTGGACGTCGTCTATGTTTGGTGGCTTGACAATGAATGCAAGGAGGGCCCTTGCGATGACAGTTTGTGCAAGTGGTATGAATACCAGTGCGTTTGTTTGAGATGGACATTGACACTTTTCGGCAATCGATGACATAGAAGGAGAGACTGGACGGAGCATGCTACTCGCGCGAAGATAAAACGTGTCCGCCTGAACGAGTCGACATGTTCGTGTCGATGTGAACATGCAGATACAAAGACATTGGTCGTGACAAGATGATCTGATCTGAACGTGCTGCTGGAAGAACGTGTTGATCTTAGCGAGGTGGCTGACTGACAACTGGCTGCAAAGCCTCGACAGTATCTATATTGGCGAGCTTTAACTAACCTACAGCACCGAAAGTACAGGTGGTCGATTCTTCCGTCGACAGGTTGACATGCTGAGCCAAGTGGTGACGAAAAGTAGCGACAAACAGCCTCACAAACAAGAGCGAGTCCGGCGGTGCACGCAGATTTTTCTTCTTGCTCGGCTTCCGTGTCGTCTTGTTCGTGAGCCCGTCTGCATGCGCTGCAGCATGTCAGTCGGCGCAATGTCCAGTATGTGTGAGGTCTACCATCCCCATCCGCCACCGTATCCTCCCCCCATCCACCACCGTAGCCACCCCATCCCCCGAAGCCACCCCAGGGACGTCCCCATCCCAAGCCTCCCCACCACTCCTTGACTTCTTGCCTTCCGCACCGATGACGGCAGTAGGCTCGTTTTCCGAGCTACATCAGCAGCAGCCTCAACAGGATGCGAATGTCGCTCGGTAGGACCCGCTGCCATCGTGTCAGTGCTGGGTGTAGCTGGTTCCGATGCAGCAAGGGCTCGGAGCGCCGGCTGGTAGTCAGTAGCTGAGGCGACGCTGGCTACAGCAACTAGCGCGGTGACGGCAAGAGCAGTGCACTTCATGGTCGATTTGGTCGAGCTGGTCGAGTACTTGCTCGCTAGGTGTTGGTGTGGCAGTGCCAGTTGGCTTG